GTGCCAGAAATTAAACCAGCACCACCGGATTCAACTGTAGTATATGTAGAGCATATGGAGAGATCAGAGGGAGAAAGAGAGGAAGGACAAAAGCAGTGTCATTATTTGAATGTCAGTCCCCCAGCCTGTTTGGACAGGCAGGATTTGCATGTTGGGTTTTCAGCCGGAGCCCTGGGGCAGGGTGGGGTGGGGTGAGGTGGGTGGAAATAGTCATCTTCATGGTGCTAAGGGTGTGGCTGCTCTGGGAACGGGACTTTTCTCATCAGGGGTCTCACAGCACAGGTCACATGTCTGACCTCAGGACACAAGATCACGCACACACCAATGTCAGGTTCCTGTTTTCTTTTTTTCACTTCATAATCACAGAACTGATCTGAGATCAAAACCATCATGCCATAATAAAATGAATATAAACTTTATATAGTGTATGAGACATGAATTTATCTGAGTGATTAATGTATGATTTTTGTCAAAATAATGAATTAATTCTGCTATAATAGATTTTATAGCAGGTTACCCAAATGTAGGTCATAGCAAACATTTTGTATAAGTAGCTTTTTTTATAACACTAAAGCATCATTAATGTTTACTAATACAAGTAAAGTGTTGAATTTAAATACAGCTACATGAGCATAAGTGTAGCTATAATTCCCAACTCATAGAAAAGGCTTAACCTGGAATCTGAAATGGAGATGATGTCAGTGTGGAGGGAGCAAATCAGTAATGTGATAAGCGTTTGGATGTGAAACATTAGACGGGGAAATCGGAGTTGTGATGGACTCGGTATCCTCCTTGTCCCTCTTTCTCGGCTGACATGTGAGATTCTTTGGAGGCCTGAGGGTCAACACCGGCCTGGTGTGGTCAAGACTTATCACACAATGAACAGAACACCAATCGTCTTTTTTAGCAGACTTTATTTATAGTGAAAGCAGATGGAAAGAAAACAGTGTATACACATTTTAAATAACCCAGGTACAGACATCTATTAAACCAGAAATACAGGCACTTACACATAGAAATATAAACAGAATTTCTAGACAAACATGCACACACACATTCAGACAGGCATGCCAAAAGGGGGCTCCCTTATGAAACAGGACATCCTGAAACTGCCAAGAAAAACACTCTGCACGCCAGCGAGCCATTCCAGTGTTATCCAATGATTTTGCTTTTATGACCAGGAAAAAGTTTTACCCTTTTGCTCTGTTCTAGAAAAAAAGAAGAAGAATCTAAAATAAAACTGAGGCTTTGCGGCAAAAGTATCCACTGGTCAAGCAATGATTTTCAGCTTTGTATAATTACCAATTTGTGGCCCTTAGAAAAACACCCCCTCAAGAGAGTTGTTCCAATAAAATGCAGCCTCCTACAAAAAAAGTGTGTATTGAGCAACAGAAGAAAGTACTAAAAAGAGAAGAAGGAAGTGTAAAAGGGAAGGGGAGAGCTGGGTGAGCACTGTGTGTACCATACCTAGGACAGGATGTCACAATGTTATGTGTTGCAATAAGGTGTGTACTATCTGGATTCTCTGGAAATTCAAGGGGACAGGGCCAACTCTCTCTTTCTCTCTCTCTCTCACACACACACACACACACACACACACGTACAGAAGTATACTACTGACATCACTACATCTGCATTTGCAAACATGCGAGAACACAGTTCCCCACATAAAACCACATAAAAACCCTCAGAGACGTCAGCATGGAGGAAATAAACAATAGACCCATGTCTGACGTTTCACAAGCGGTTGGGATAAAGAGAAGTGACATCGCAGCACACGCCTCTAAATGGGAACTGATGCTAACTGAGACAATGACAATAACAGAAGGAGGACAAAACAGGATGCTGGTCAGATGAAAGAGCCCGAAATGTCAGACAGCCTACAGACTGTTGTCGCCTTGCAATCTTAACAGCCAACACCAGTCTGATAAGCTATCTGACAGGCCGAGAGAGTGACGGACATGCCTGAGACGTACGCATGTACGGACACGACAACAATGAAAAAAAAAAGAAAAAAAAGAAAAAGCATCCTAATCGGACTTACCATGACAGGAGAAAAGAGGAGATGTGAATGTTCTGACTAGAGCTGGTGCAGAGCGCAGGGTTCAGCCTGCTCAACAGTACCCCTCTGTTTTGAATCTACTCGAGTGATTCGTCTCCTGGCTCCGTGACTGGGGCAGTGCAACGAGTTCATTCGAAGGTTCAGCTGAGGTAACGGCACAGACGCTTTTCACTGTGCGCTTGAGGGTTTTTTTTCTCCCTCCTGCTTGTGCCTGCTCTAGCGCCCACTGTGCTCAGTCCAGCGTAGCACAGCAGCGGTACAGAGAGGGAGAAGAAAATAGCACATTTCACTGGCAATTATGAAAAAAAGAGAAGGTACGGCATGTGTCGAGAGCCAGCTGACGTTATCCGATGAGCAAAAAAAGGCACAAAAATGAACGCTGATCATATGAAATGCAGAGTTTTGTTTTAGGAGCTGGCCATGTAATGTCCAACATGAGCTTGCTGTCCTCATCTGGGGTAAAAATGATTTTAAAAAAAAGCTCTGTGGACAAGTGAAGACAAAGGAAAACACTTACCATGACACAGACTGTCTCTAAGTTAAAGGGAACAGCTATCTGCTATACTAAGACTCCCAGGCAGACTCCTAGTCTATTAGTGGAGCACAATCTGCTTTAATCCATAAAAGATAAAAGGGAGAGCAACAAATGTGGCAGCCACACTAGAGCAACCTACTATCTCTGTCTCGCTCTCTGTCTCACACACAGGCACGCGCAAACACAGCCGTAGACCTGATTCATTATATGGCTGCATCTGGTAAAGTAGCCCCGGGCTGACTCATGTGCTCTCTTCCTGGAAGCAGAACAATAAGGGCAGACAAAGGGACCAGCAGGGTGATTCATGGCCGATTTATCATTTCTCATCCAAAAGTACCAAGATGGGCTTTACGGCACAGACAAAAGAAGTGGTCATCTAAAGCACCATGAACAGCATGAAACATTCATTAACATCTCTACTACAACTGACTTCTACAATATGTAGAAATGAGATGGCTCTTAAGTGGACACAATTATTTACAGACCATGTACATGTCTTATCTACCGAAGCCAATACTGCACAGCAACTCTACAGTACAGTAATAAATACAGAATGTCTTATTAATAATCTGGAAAACATAGATAATCAATAAATAGGTTATTGAACAAATTACTTTGCGCTGGTTTTACAGAACACACCTCATAATCAAAAGTAACAATCTTAGCTTATTCAAATAAGTTAAATTCAAGTGACTCTATGGTCATCTATGGACATTCAGACTTTAAAGTTCCTCTAGTGGAACAAACAATGAAGCTTAAGGCCTAACTGAGAAGAATTATTGCCAGCAGCTTCTTCTCACGTGCTCAGGAGCTGCTAAAAGCACCAACACAGGCACTTAACAACACAACAGCTTACTCACACGCACCCCAACAAGCACCTACCTTACAGAGAACAATCACGGAAATCACTACCAAATGCAAAGCCTTCAAAAGCAAGTAAATGGAAGTCCGAGTTTTAACATAAACAGGTTGCTACAATAAAAAAAGAGAAACCAGATGGAGGCTGATATTTTGCTTCAGATAATGGTGGGGCATCAGCCAGGAGTGAGAGCAGAAATTAGTAGAGGAGTGGTGGGAGCTTTGGAAGTTGATGGTTCGCCGTGATCGCTAGCTGGCCTTCACTCTGTCTTGCCCTCCGAGTACTTCCCCTGCTGCTTGCGCTTGGCGTAGCTCTGGGCCATGGAGTTGACAATGGAGCAGACAAAGAAGCATACCATGATGACCACAACCTTCTCAAAGAGCCACGACAGCCAGCTCTCCTCCTGCCAGGAACCACAGAGAGAGCAGAGAGAGAGGAGAGGAGCTCGGTCAATAAGTTTGAGGGCCACCCCCTTCACCCCCCCCTTCACCCCACACCCTGCTCTCCCCTCTGCTCCTGATGCTGTAGGCTAGGTGGGGATCCAGCTCCATGTGCAGGACAGATAGAGATCAGGGGTAATAAAACACGCGGCAGCCCCCACCATCCTCCCTCCTAACGCCCCCACTGACCCCAGCCTGCAGCCTGCCTCCACCAAGTTAAATTGCCTCGCTTCTCTCCTGTAACTGCAGGAGGCTCAAGTTACAAGAAAAAAGGAACATTGTTCTAGAAATGCCTTAATCTGTCCTTGTGCAACTCAGTCTATCCTTTTTTTCTTCTCCTTCCTAGTAAGCGCATAAAAAAAGAAAAATCGTTTTCAATGAATCACTTAGAGCAAGAGAGAGAAAGAGGGAGTGAGAACTAGAGAGGAGGGAAAAAAGCTTTGAAAGAGAAATAGGCTACAGCTACAACTGGCTTTTTTGTTCTAGACAGGGGGGTTTTGATGGATTGTCACTAGCGGGGGGGGGGGGGCGCCCCGGTCTACAGTAGTTCGGTTCAGGCGGGGCCACTCGAGTGCAAGTGTGTAGTGTGACACATAGGGGAGTGACCACACCTCCACATACACCACTCCCATTGGTAGATGGAGCATGAGTCAGCACGCCCCGCGCTAGCAGTAGTCAGTCAGATACAGCGATGGAGCCAGACCCGCTCACCACTGGCCCCTCTCCTCCTCCCCTCTTCTCCTCCCTCCCTCTAGCCCGCCCCTAGTGCCGTGCTAACCTACTCTGTCATTTCGGGCCCTAAACACCAGCCTCTGTAATCTACTGTATCACTACAGACTCGGTTTATAAGTAAAATCAACATTTTCTCTTTCTAAAACACTCTACATTAGAAATTAAGGTTTAAAAAACATATATGAAACATGACTAAGATAGTTGTATTGAAAGCGACACAGTCAGAGTAGAAGAGGGGGAAAACAGGATGAGATTGTGTTGATGAAAGGAAAATATGGTCAGAAAGAATATAAAGGAAGCTAGATAATAGAGAATTAAAGGGGCACAAGAAAAAAAAGTGAGGTGATGAAGGAGTCAAGGGCCAAAAGTAGGAGGCTCGCATTCTTTTTTTGGCCGCCACAACGTGAATGAATAGAGGCAGTGAGCTGGTGT